CCGCGTCCCCAACCCACTCCCGTTTTTGTGGTGAAATACTGCTGGAGAAAGCACGACCCACTGCTCAAATCTCTCACAGAGGTGCAGAGAGCACTTTGGAAAAGGGGAAGGAGGAAGCGCCCTGCCGGGGCTGCAGGCGAACCGCCCGGCTCCGAGGGAGGGCTGTGGCGACCGAAAGGTGCCAGCGAGGAGACACTCCCCGCCTCTACCCAATCCGCTCCAGCTCCACCTCGGGCGAGCCTGAAGCCCCCGTGCGCGAAGGGTCTTGGTGTGGCCCAGCAGAGCGACCCCGACTCTGCGCAGGGGGTGTGGAGCTCTCGTGCAGCCCCAGAGATGTCAGCCGCCCCCCTCCCCCGAGGCAAGCCAGGAAGGCACACACGCACACCCCTTTTTATTAGCCTGCCCTGGATGCGGGTTTGTACCAACGCTAAAGTGCAGTACGTGTTTGTAAGTTTGTGCACAAGTCAGGTAAAGTCAGGTAAAGGCAGGGCGCCCCATTTGAGTCCCTGTCTCAGTGAACCCGCCCAGCCATCGCGCGCTTGCCCGTGGTTTGTGTAACCGTGTGCACGCGTGCGTGTGTGTGCGCGTGCGTTCGCTCGCATCCGTGCCCGGGGCACAACGCGAGCCAGAGAGGAAACCTTGTTTGCGCAACAATCAGCGCCGCGGAGCCGCCAAAGTGTCTAGACTGGCATATGATGGGAGGCAGCCAATGACTCCGCGGCGCTCCTCCGGGGGCCCTCAGTGTGCGTTTGAGGAGAACAAAAAAGAGAGAGAGAGAGCCGAGCGGGGGAGCGAGCGAGGGAGCCGCGCCGAGAGAAAGAGCCGCCGGGCGCTGCCTCGCCAGACCTCGCAGGGATCGCGGGGCCACCGGGAGGCACTTTTGTGGAGGGGGGAGGGGGGACGACCTCGCCAGCCGCGGCGCCCGCAGCGTCCCAGCGCAGCGTGGGGCGGGCTGCGACCTCTTCCTCGGTGGATTGCATTTTTAATTAAGGATTCCCAGCAGCTCTTTAAGATTTTTACGGCTTCCACTCATGTGTTGACACCCGCGTTCAGGAGAAACTCGCTCCAAGTGCATCTAGCGCCTGGAACCTCAGACGGAGTTGGCCGTTCGTGCATGCAAATCCAGGGATTTGGGTTTTGTTCGGAATTTCTTGTTTGCTTGCTTGCTTTTCTCCCCCCTCCTCCTTTTCGCAGGGAGTAAGAAGGGAGCGGAGGGTATCAACAAGCCTGGCTTTTGGATTTTGCAGGAAGAGCCCATGTAATTAAGCGCTTGAGTTTTAAAGGCAGGAATTTCCAGACACATCTGGGGGTCCCGCGCGAGCGCTTTGTGCTCATGGACCAGCCGCGCAACTTTTGAAGGCTCACCGGCCCATGCGGGGTCTCTTGGGCAGCACGCCGCCTGCAGCCCCCCTAAGGCGCGGGGGCTGGAGTGGTTGAGCAGGCGGCCCATGTACCCGCTGGCCGGGCGCGGACTGCGGCTCGGCGTGCGCGTGTCCCCGGCTGTCCCGCCCGGCGAGCACCCTCATGTTGCGGCCCTGCGGCGCCCCTTCGACCACAGGCTGTGCGCGGTCTGCACGGCGCTCCGCAGCGGACCTACATGTGGGGCTGCGGCCCGCGCAGCCGGCGCCTCGCTGAGGGAACGGACCCCCGGTAACCGGAGACCGCCACCCCTCCACCCCCGGCGCCAAAGGATATCGTATGTTCAGGTCCAAACGCTCGGGGCTGGTGCGGCGACTTTGGCGAAGTCGTGTGGTCCCCGACCGGGAGGAAGGCGGCGGC